CAGGACTGTTATGATGAAGGGATAAAAAAGATGTTTTCTTGACTTTCTGATGCTTTAGGAAAGGGCTTCTAACTCGAGTCAGTAGCTAGGCTGGCTGTGGGGTCGTCCTGGAGAGCCCGACTTCCCAAGCTCATGGGCAGCRTGACAATGTTCAGAGCTATGGTTCAGCCTAGAAACCAGCCAGGTGCTTTGTACTGGGCTCGAAGCGCGGTGGTTGTTGGTAGTGCAAGGTTATTTCTCTCTGCTCCTTAGTAACTGAGCAGTGTTTTGTTTGCTTTTTTTTTTCCTCCTCCCATAGGTTAAGCGTGCACTGGAACTGCCATTTTGCTTCAGGTGAACGATGATTCTGCTTTGTGGGGCACAGGTCTCATTCAGGACTTATTTAATAAACTAATTTATTTTTTTAAGTTAGAAGCTCTATGGGCCTTTCTTCTGAAGGRGGATGTTTTTGGTAGCTATGTGCTGTCTTGGGAGCTGCCAGATAATTTTGGCAAGAAATGTTATGATCTTCTACTGTAGTTAATAGGGCTGCCTTTTACATGAGTCTTCCTTTTATGCTTTCTTAATTTCTGCTGAATTAAAGGGTACAGTTGGTGTCTATAAGGGCTATCTCTGTGGCTAAGCAATGATAGAAGAGAGACATTCTTTTTTAGGGCAATCCCTCATTCAAACATGGGAAGCACTTCTCCCGCGGAAGGTTTCTCGCACGTGATGCTTTGGTTAGAGGCTGACTCTCAGGAGCCAAGCCAGAGGCTGCTTCATAGAACAGATTGGAAATAGTGATTGTCATTTTCAGAAATAAAAAGCCATTCTGCATAAAGAGTCTCTCTGAGTTTGAATTCAAAGTTGCTTCTGTTTTGCATGTATACTGTAATGCCGTGAGGAGTCTATGAAGTTTCTGTGCATGCTTCCAAGATGAGCCAGATCTGATCTTTTACCCTAAGAAAGTGCAAAGAAAAAAATGATAAAAACGGAGTAAAGCAGCAGAAGGCCTCACAAATATCCTTTACGAGTTATGCTTTGAGAAAGAAGAAAAAAACAAGATTTCTTGCCATTTATTTCAAGAAYAGGGTGATAGAGAAAGTTACTGAACCATCTATTGTAGCACATTCTAGCATGACCAATGCTTAGACTGAATGCTTTCTAGCAGGGCCCAGAAATAGTTCTTGCAAGGAGCAAACTGACAGCTCTGAATTTTCTAAGCTGATATCTGCTTTGCTTTTTTTTTTTTTTTTAAAAAGGTCTAACTATCGTACTGAGGGAAAAGATGAATTGTTGAACGGAGTTTCTTTCAGAGAAGATAAAATTTACTAAGTGTTTTTGAAGAAGCAAATTAAAATCTTTCTGCTTCTTACCTCTTTATATTGTCAATAACTAATGGATACTGGGAAGCAGATGCATTGACTAGATTTWAAATTTTTTTTTAATCTTATTTTGTTCAGCAACTAAATATCTCCATTAAGAATTTGCATAGATTCCTTTTGATGCAGTTGTTGGCCATTTTTATGCATGACTGTGATGAGTACATATTAAAAATATTGAATGTGATTCTTCTTGCCTTCATTCCTGAGCCTGCAATACAAATAATAAAATCCATAGAAAAGCCAGAGCTACTTCTTGTTTGCCTGAATCTTGGGCTAGGAGTTGTTTCCCCCACCATGGGAGGCCATCATTAGCTTGTCCTAACCCTTTCTCCACCCACTAAAAACCATCAGTTATGCAAAGTAGGGAAGTTTCCTATGTGATCTCCTGTGGGAATTGACAGACACTCACTTTGAATATTTTACTGTCTCTTTAGTGTTACTGACAGAATGACTGTCTCTTCTTTGAGGGCTGGAAGCTTCAATTTTCAGTGTTTTGCTTAAGTAAGTTTCTTTCAATACAAGGCAAGTTGAACAGCTGTTTGTAAAATACTCTTTAAAAAAAAAAAAAAAAAGCTCCCGAACTACATGTATGTTTGTCTGTCAGTCCAAAGATTACACAACAACTAAATGCAGTGAAGGAAGACAAAGGAGCAGAGGTATTTAGAAGAAAATTTGTGAATTCCAACTCATCCGTCAGCAGACAGGATGCACAATAAAAAAGTGCCTGCTTTTTGATATGTAAAGAGTGGTGGGTAAGTGAGTAACCATTCAGTTCCTTTAATCTGGTTCCTGGCTGCTTTTTGAAGAATGTCCTCTGGTTTGGCAGGGGTTTTTATTTCACCTTGTGAATAAATGTGCCCTCAGAGGGCTGGTGGCCACTCAGCTATTGGGAATACCAAGCCCTGTTTTCCCAGAAGGGCACGTGTTTTTGGGAAAGAGAGACTAACACTGTGCCATCTGCTGACTCGTGGTTTAATCTTTATTTTGCACTTCCAACTGATAAGGCCACCTTGTGCAAAAGTAATACAGGAAATGATGCATTGCAAAAATCCAAAGTGGCAGAAAGGGAAACAGAATGTACTGGCAAAGGTTCAGGATGATGGACACACTTTCTCATTCTTGGAAACAAAACCTGCACCTACACTGTCTTTTATTTTCAGTTTAATACTGACATTAAAATGCAGCATCAGAGTAATATGCAGCAGATTTTTTTTTTTCTTTTTAATTTGTCTAGTGGCTTGCTCAGGACTTAAATTTTATGCTTAAATGCTTAAATTTTCTTTAGGCAGGCTCTGCTTCAGCAGCAGTCCCTGTGCTGTAGCTTAGTGGCAGGCTAGACAGTGCAGGTATTTGCAGCTGCTGAATTACATTAAAGTCAAGTATATCTACAAGTACCTGCTATACCCCTTTCCTACCTCCCTTGTATTTTGTGCTACGGTTGTTATCAGAGAGGTGCCAGCTGTTAAGATAGTACCTGTGATGATAAGATATCCTTTGGAATGCATATTTATGGGAAGGGAAAAGGTGTGTGTTACAGGATTTGATCTGTACTAAGAACCTGTGAAAAATCTCTTCCTAGAGTAAGGAGTACTGGTGGCTATATCTAAACGTCTTCTTAATCTTTGACAAGCTTGTGCAGGCGTAGCTGAAAATGTACCGATTTAATAAACAGGATTTTTATTTTCTATGGCAAGTTGAATTTGACCATTSATTTTTTTAAAGCAACTTGTTGGATTTGTTTCAAGCCTAGATGGAACYATGTCTGGATATAGTATCAGAGCTGAAATAAGTCTTTTGAATCTAGATTCAGACTTTGTACCTTTTTTCTTTTTTATTAGAGTTTCATCAAGTATTTTAAATGTTTTGTTTTAATTTTAATGGATGTGGATTCAAAAGCAGACTTTATTGTTTCTAAGTATACCGCATGTGTGGGAACTTTCACGTTTTATCTGAAAGGCATGTATAAAAGTCTTCAGAATAATGTCATGATAATGAGCTGAAAATGTTATTTACAGGCACTGCTGAAGCACATATAGAGGGTGTATGATAATAAAAGTTCCTAAATTAGGGCAGCATTTTAATAGAGTACTTCACAATGCATACAAGGATAAAATACTTCTTGAGTGTAGGCAGTGACAGTAATGGAGTTTCAGTTCATTTAATAGCATAGCACATGGTCAGGTAACAAAATAAATTCTTAAATTTGCCCCAGGGTCATGCTAATCTTCCGTGGCATTGACATTATTTCAGATAGAATTCGTAGCATACAAGAGAATGGAAAGTACCTGTACTAAGTGCGGGTAGACATGATCTCTCTCTTAGTTCATCAGCATTATTTATATAAATGTAGTTCATGCATCCAGCTTTGTAATTGTTTTTTACTGACAGATTAATTTGAATTAAGATTCAGTTTTACTAAGGGGATTGTTTTCACATGAAAAAACTTCAAGTATATTGGTACACTATGTAAATATTAAAATTGATTACAGTTTGCTGAAGTTCTCAGGAGGCTTAAGTATACCATAGCACCTGCAATCTTGAGATTTGCAGTTATTGTATTTCCTATATAAATAATTTATATTTGTACTAAAAACTGCAATTAAATTTAATTTTAAATTCTTCTGCAACCTATTGCATCCCTTGCAGGATGCAATTTCATGTTTGTCTTCATGCTGTGAAGAGCAGTGATTTGCTGCTCTTCATTGCTTTTCTTCCACCCTGCCAGGGATCCTGTCCTAGATCCCTCTTCCCTAGGCAGATACAGGCACTTTCTTGGTCCCAGCCTGCACAAATATGAAGCCTGCTGCTCACAGGCTCTCTGTTCCCCATTCCCAGTTGGAGGAACGCTTAGCACAACTTCTGCCTCCCTCCTGCTCCTTTATGTGTTCTTGCATATGTCCAACAGGCTTTGCAAGCTGAAGGGTCAGGATGTAGTGTTGAGATAAATTAATGATGTCTTTTTCTTTAGTCTGCTTATGAGGCATTATGGCTTTTAGTGCTGTGTTGCTTTCTTATGTGACCTGAGTAAGGAAAAATATCCTTTTCATTATTTTTTATTTCAGACTGTGATATGCAGAAGCTCCAATGCAGTGGTTTGCTAGCTGTATCACATGCAGTTTGTGAAGAGGTGGATAGCAGGATACTGTTGGTGTATTTTGCTTCAAACTGCTATATAAAACCAAAAAGAGCTGCCAGTCTTATTTTGGCTCTCTGGATTGCTGTGCTGCATTAACTGCCAACTTTTGAGCGTGAGGAATGCCCTTCACACTTACRAATGAAGGATGAACTCTGAGTGACYGATTTGGGCCATTTTTAATATTACCCCCCTCCCCAACCCCCTCAAAGCCTACTTCTTCTTCATGTTTATGCTAGTCATTATTTTCCAAGTTGATCACCTCATTTATTCGTGACTGGTTTGGGGGACTGGTTGGGGGGTTCGTGACAGGCTTCAGCAGGCCAGGATAAATAAAAGTCTTTGTCAAGCTGTTCCTGGAGTCCAGTTCAGGAGATTGCCAACATTTATGTTGTTTTTGTTGTTTTCTCTGTCACTCTACCATTGTTGGAGAATACGTTTAACTGTGATGGTTAATTTAAAGAGTAAAATCTCTCTTCCTCTCCTCCTGTATTCTCGCGTAGGTTGTCAGCAGGAACAGTAAAGAATGAACAAGTCACTTCTGCCAAGGGGAAATGCCAGCATCATCTTCTTGGAACTTGAGGTTTGAAAAGTTAAAAGGATCAGAACTGTTCTGAGACAAACTGCTTTTAACTACTGATACAATCTGCTGTGCCCAGTTTGTGGTGTGGAAAACAGGACAGTCTCCTCTGCCTGGTCTGTGCTTGCCAGTGCRACCAAGTGGGATCACCATGAATGTGACAAGTTTATTTTCCTTTACCAGCCCTGCAGTGAAGAGGCTGTTGGGATGGAAGCAGGGGGATGAAGAAGAGAAGTGGGCAGAGAAAGCTGTTGATGCGTTAGTGAAAAAGCTAAAGAAGAAAAAAGGTGCTATGGAGGAGCTGGAAAAAGCATTAAGCTGTCCTGGTCAACCCAGCAACTGTGTCACGATTCCTCGCTCCTTGGATGGCAGGCTGCAGGTGTCGCACCGCAAAGGGCTGCCGCACGTAATTTACTGCAGAGTGTGGCGCTGGCCAGACCTGCAGAGCCATCATGAACTGAAGCCACTGGAATGCTGCGAGTATCCCTTTGGTTCAAAGCAGAAGGAGGTTTGCATCAATCCCTACCACTACAAGCGAGTAGAGAGTCCTGGTAAGTTCTTCCTTGTTTTGTACCTTTACACCTTATCTAAACACTGGGAAGGATGGCAGTTAAGCACATGAGTCATCAGCTCAAATAAGCAAAAGTGCTTATTGCACATATTGGATTTTTCCTCTTTGATTTATCTGCATGTAAGTGTTAATTAGCAGTTGTTCTTTCCACCTGATGAATACTTTACCTGTGTAGATGTGTTTTATCACAATACAGAGGAATAGTCTTAGCGTGGCCTTTGCATTGCTGGGCCTGGTATCACCTGGTCCTGTCGGTAATACTCTCTCTATTTATTTGTTCTTTACCAAAGTGTGCAGCTCAGCAAACATATATGGTGTATTGCAAGTGTGAAAGATAGTTGCAATTMATACATTAAAATGATTCTGACAGTACAATTTTTAATTGTATTATTTCCAGTGAAATTTCTATCAATTCTATCACTTTTGTTTCTTCATCCTCCAGAAGGTAAATATTGTATTTAAGATGTCCCACACCTTAGGCCCTCTGAAGCAACCACAATTTTAGACAGAGGAAGATACCCCCTCAACCTAAAGCTTTAATAGTAACGTTTTGTTGTTTATGAAGTTTTACTTTCAGCTGTTCTGTAATTGAAGTTTGCTTACCTCTTACCTACTTCCTCATTTGTAAGTTAAAATTCAGCTGATTATCTCTGTCTCCTCTTCAAAGGCTTGTTAATGGCAACCCTCTTTTTAACAGAATATTTCCAGGGACTGAGACAAAGGATGCCTGAATACATCTACATCAGTCTCCAGCTACTTGTGAGGCTGTACAGGGACATATGCACTTTGCAGATTACAGGTGTGGGTGGATTTCACTGATTTAATTTGAGAAGTCGCTATGTGTTAGACATTTGCAAACAGTGTTGCTGTCTCTGCAGGATGATACAGATAGTGCAAAAACTACTGTGGAAATAAGGGATTAAATGACAAGATTGTTGTCCTGTAAATGGAAATTGTGTTTGTCTTAGATCTGACACGTTAGGCATATATGAATGTTAAATGTTTCCCTTTGGTGTATTGGTGTTGATTTGGAAGTTATTTAAATGGCAAAGATAATACTATAAAGTGCATATTTATGCAGCAGAAGCTTAAATAAATGAAGCCTCTGCACTGGAAGAACATTTAAAAAAAAAATTCTTACCAATTCCACATTGAGCAGAAGTGGGAAAACTTTCCAAGGTGTACAACTGAAATGTATGTTTTTGCTGAGTCCTGCGAAGTAGTTGACATGATTGCAAAGGTGTTCTGTGGATGTTAAGTCACCTTAGGACCTGTATATTCAGGAAACAAAGTGATATGTTATTAACTGTGAGCCTGAATTCTGGATTGTTCTTCCAAGTCTTTCTGGAGAAGATAAAATCTCTGAAGTGTTGTAAGCTTCAGAACTAGGAAAAAAGAAACAAACCCAAATAAGAATTTAACTGATTTGGAGATGGTAGAAATAACTCCCTTTCACCCAAATAGTAGCCTTCTTCAGGAAACAATAGTTATTGAGGACCAATTGCTTAAGACACAGCTTGGAGAGCTTTTTTGCAAGTGTTCGGGCTGTAGTCAGTTTGACAGAGTTGAGAGGCGTGCTTAGCCGTGGGCAAGGTCAGTGGGCTGCCTGGAGCAGCTACAGCACTTGCGAGGCAGCTGTCACTGCTCTCTACATTCCCTGTTAGATCATGGTAGGGAGGTATTACTCTATATGCATGATTTTTATAAGGGTGAGAATGAGGTTGAATTACATCATATTTTTGCTGAGGTCTCTGGCTGAGGATGTAAAGGATGGATGTGTACTTATTAGACTTGCCATTGTTCTGAGAGATATTGCATAGAGGTGAGTTGGAAAACATGACTTTTGGAAACAGGTGGTCATTGAACTCTTATTTTGCTTGGAGACCTGTGCTTCATAAGTCATTATGACTTCCTTTTTTCCCCCTGTTCCTTCCCTATTCTCCCTGTTCTCCAAGCATCATCTTAGCTTCATTTCCTGACAGTCACTCCCAAATTCTGCTCATCATATTTTTCCTATTTTTGCCTGGATATTAAAACACCATCACTGCTGCATAAGTGTTTACTCTTTGAGATTAATGGGTAGTGGGAATTCACCCATGAGTCACTGTTTCCAGCTGTCTACAGACTCTTGCAGATATCAAGGTTTGTGTTTCCAAGGCTATCGTTGCAGCCCTGAGGGTTAGAAATGTACTATCTCTTGACAAAACAACACTGAAAGCTTAGACTGTGTACGATGTGCAGTTTGCCTGGACTGTGCCAGTACAGTGGGAATCTCTGTTTGACAGTGTAGTCAGTATTTTAAGTCCTTTGTATGGATCCAGTTACTCCCAAGCTGAAATGTGTAATGTTCATGGGCTGGAATCTGTACATTTGTTGTTGTTGTTGAACATAGTTTTTGAGCTGATCTGCTCTCTGAAGAACAGAGTTTGCATGGAATGCAGATTAGCACATCCACCTGAGGCTGCACACAGCCAGGCCCGTTAGTTYTTCTGTAAATGGCAATAAAGCGTGGATGATTTTCTCCTCTGAAACAGCTTTTCTCATTTGGAGAGCCTGTGGTGTCTGTTCAGCTCTAGGAGTTCTCATGAGGCTGATGGTGGAAACGTCCCACCAAAGTGGCAGTGCGAGCAAGGGCTGCTTGCTCACAATGCAGGAGAATAAAATGTCAGAGCTGCTGGATTTTCGGCTACTCTAAAGGTCATGGTGCTCCTTTCCATTCTGACTACAAAGTCAAAGCACAGTCTGCTGCAGCAAGCCTGTGGTGGTGGCAGGAAGCCCTGCCCATTCTCACCCAGCTGCACTGCTACTTTTTGCCACAACAGTCACACAGGTCCCCAGGCATGGGGGACCCCCACGTTTTGCTGCCTGTGTGGACTTGCTGCCTGTGACTTGAGCCTGCTGTTTCTTGTCTTTGCCTTTCATCTTCTTGGCTGTTCTCTTAAAGTGAGTCTCCATAAAGCAGTACCTAACAAGTACGGTTACCAAAGGCTTAGGGAGAAACTTGAGATGGTGGAAATCCTGGATAAAGTGGGTTTAGATTGAGGTGGTCCTGCAAGTAAAGTGCCTTGAATACTCCCTGTGTAGTGCTGCAGCTCTGCCCTTCAATGAAAGGGGAAAAAAAAGTTGAGAGGAAATTTTAAATGCCATTTGGAATTTTACAAGTGTTTGGTTTTGTGTATTTGTGTGCGTGTCTGTGTGTGCTCTCTCTGTCCATGTGTATGTATACATAGACACCTTACAGAAAACATAAACGGGTCTGTTAATCATTCCCATCTCTTTTCTTGCTCCCAACCATACTGTTTTTAGACAGGATAAATGGAATAGTGTTTTTTTTAATGTCTGTCACTGTTAGTTGCCTTACATGTCAACTCTGGCGCAGCTTGGTGCCATAAGTTACCTTCTAGGTCACTCAAATGAGAGCTCTGGTTTTCGATAAGCAACAGAGTTTCTTCAAAGCCTGTGCGTTAGGCTGCTCTCAGAGAGATCATCATCCTTACAGGGTCAAGATCGAATATGGAAGGAAGAAATAAGAGCAGTTGGAGGTTTTCTTCAGTGTTAGGGGCTTGCGTGTTGCCTAGCTGAGATCTTGCGGCTTGCTCGGTGCCTCCCTCTCCTCGCAGCACCTGGGAGGACTGGAGCGGGCCCGGAGCCCATGGCCTGTTTCCGGCCAGATGGGAAGCTCTGCAGAGCGAGGCTCGAGGGAGCCCCCCATGCCGGCTGCACGTCCGCCCGCTCCGGAGCCCAATGAGGAGCCAGGAATCTGTGGTGGGGGAGARGAGCTGCAAAGAGCCTGGAAAAATGAAGGCAGGAGGGAAGTTGTTGCATCTCTGATCTGGGGAATGTGAGGGAGGCGATGAGTGGAGTGTCCTTTCAAAGAGGAAGAATATAAGTGAAGTGGGAGGAAGAATAAAAGAGCAAAGGAAACCAGAATACTTTTTTTTTTTTTTTTTTCTGAAATGATTAAAGGAAGAAATTAGAGCAATGGAAGTCACCAGCTGATTTAAAACAAGGGAGAAGTGTGGAGGAGCTAATGCATAGGAGTAAAGCTCTTGTTCCCGCTTGTATATTCCTAGCAGGCACTCTGCACCCGGCAGGCGTGGGACGGGAGAGCAGAGAATGGCCGAGGAGTTTGGCCCTAATGCTGTGCGGAGTGAGTGCTGGGCGTAACATTAAAAATAGCATGCTGCAACAGGTGGGTACAATTATAGGATGCTTCCCCAAAATAGCAAACAACTGTCGGGTTGTTTGGCCAGTAGTATAAAGCTTTCATCGTGTCAGTTTTGCAGAATTCRGTCCACAAATTCATCAGCAAAACCTGCTTGGGGAAAATGAATTGTAATAAGGAGGGAGAAAGGAGGGAATGGTCTAAACTGCAGGGATTTCTGTCCAACCTCACTGTGTAGCACAAGAGAGAAGGGTAGTAAAGGGATATAAGTTGTCAAGAAAGATATGTATATTTCTCTGTCTTATTTTAAGTGTAATTAACCAGATTCCAATGTTCCTTTTAACTTAAAATACCAGACTTCCAAGTTTTAACCTCTTCAGTCAGATGCTGTGTTTTTATACAGGTGACTTGAATTCTGGTCTGTATAAATGTCTGAGCTGACATACATTGCCACTTTCTCCTGTATCAAAATAATTCCTCTCCCCCATTAGCTTACAGGAACCCCTCACTGTTGGGCATAAAGTTAGTACCAAATGTTGAAATAAACTGATATTTGTCAAGACCAAAGCAAAACGATAGCTTATCAGAGGAGCCACAAATAAAATCTAATGTTAGCTGAATATTGTAAAGCAGGAAATGTACTAATATGAACTTGCCAAGTGCATTTAGACCAAATGTCTGATGTAAAGTGAAGCGACAACTACTTTTTTAAAATGCAATGTTCAGTTGTAATTAAGTAAAATGACAAATCAAGACATGAGGTCTAATTAAATGGCAAAATGCAATTAAGAGTTGAGGAGGGGGGAAAAGACAGGTTTCAGCGTATTCCTGGAATACCAAGTCTGAAATATTTGTCCATCACCTGGAACACAGGTTTTTAGTAAGAGTCTAGAATTTTGTCATTTTTTGCTTTTGAGAAAACAGTAAAGCAAAGTTGTGTTACCACAGCTTGTAGCAGAGCCTTGTTTAAGCCAGATGGTGTTGGAACAACATAAAATAGTTCCTCAGAGAACTGCTTTGGCCACAACAATATTCATTATTTTTAACCAAGAGTAAACTCAATCCCAAGTTTGGACATGTAAGTGTCTTTGTACGTGAGAACTTGTCCTCTAGTCAAAGAATATTCAGCTTTGCCATAATCTTGTTTTTGGCAACACAACCCTAATGACAGTAAGGGTTTTCTCTCTACTTGGCGTTTCATTGTTTACAAGCAAGAACTGGGCAAGATGTTTCAATCAGCTGCTTCACTGACTTGTTAACGGTACAGAAAGCAAGAAAAGCTCCATACATTCAGCTCAACACACTCCAGTACCTGCTCTGTTCCCAACGAGGAACTGCACTACTCACCAGGGTGCTACTGCCGAGTTCAGCTGCTGTGGTGTCAAAGGCAGGAAATCAAACTGAAAATTTCAAGAAGGATTGAGCTTGTTTAGTTTCATACTACTGCTGTATTATTTGTTGTTGATGGTGGTTTTTCCTTTCTAATTCTTCTTTTGCCAGTACATCTTTGCAGTTTTTTTAATCTAGAGACTTGAGTACAAATATCAAGTTCCTCACGTGCACTCCTTTACCCCCTTCCCAGTCTTTTCATACCCGTATGAAGGTAGCGTGAACTAGTGTGTAAGGCTTTCCCTCCTTCCCAACCAGCAGTTCTACTTTTGCAGTAAAATATAAATGACCTTGCATAAATTCATATGAAAATATSCAAGCTATATGATGCTTGGAAATTAAAACACACTGTGTAATGAYAGTGCCCCAAGGCCTTCATAAGAGTTGAGAGCCATGCTTTGGTATGAGCTTGCAAAAGGCTTCTACATAACGTATATCCAGTGAGTTGTTGTCATCATTTTAAAAAGCAGTATGGTTGAAAGTGCAGCAGCAATTGCTTTTCTTCTCTTTTAAAGCTCATAGTAAAAGTAGAATTTCCTTGAGAAAGGAAGAATAATTGAAATCTGCTTTCCCTTAAGTAGCCTCTTGTTGCTTTCTGTTATTTGCTCCCCAAATTTTCAGACATGGAAAGAGAGAGATCTACCAAGATCCTCATCTAACTTGGAAAGGGAGAAAAATGAGCCCTTGAGGGAAGCTAGCTCATATAAGCTAATAGATACCCATGTGGATAGAAAATACACTGCCTTGAAAACACAGCAGGTCCTTTGACTTGAATTTGTTTTGTTTTTTATTTTAGCGGGAAAGGGGAGGCTTTTAAAAAAATTACATAAGCTTAAAGTTGTAATCATAAATTGGAAACTTTGTTTGCTATAACAATCATCTCTGTGACATGATGAAAATGAAAACAAAAAAGTGAATAAGTGATTTTTTTATGTTAATACAGCACACCTTTTTACAGGAGAGCAGGATGCTACACTGGAGAGAGACAGAGTGTAGAGATCCTTAGCTTTCTACAGAGGACCCTGTTACGTTTTTATAAATGTTCCAGCTAAATAAATGAATATATATGTATTTGTGTGTGTGTGTGTGTGTGTGTATGTGTGTATGTATATATATATATATATATATATATACACACATTTCTCCCAACAGCAAGCTGTCTTGGGTCTATCTTATATGTTTTGGCGTTCTTGGCTCTTAGATGAAATAGCCTGTGGGTAACATTGCCCTGTAGCTGTAATTCTTTTAATACGGCTCCACTTGTTTGGTGCAGGCATAAATCTAAGTCTGATTTGCATGTTAAAAATAACCTGCTCAATTCCCAGGCAGTTTTAGTTCACTGACAAATACAGGATATGTTTTTATCTACCGTTCTACCAACATATGCAGCTTGACTTTCACATGATTTATCTTTCTCTTCAGGTACCATCATCAGCAGCAGCATTATTACTGGTAGTAGTGCGTTAAGTCTCAGCCTCTGGTCTGTATCTCCACAAAATCTCTGAGCAAAACTTAGACTCAGTTAAAGTTGTTTTTCCGAGAAAATGAAGAGATAAACCTGGCTTATGACTTGTGGTTCTGCTCTACTAGGTGGTTTTAACCATTTAAATCAGATTCCTCTTACGAATCATGTTTGACGTGATTGTTGCAGTAGCTTTTCAGGACAACCACACAATTAGCAGTGCTTTTTGTTTAAATAGGTGCATCTCTGGCATAGAAACAATTAAATAATTGTGGAAGTCAGGCTTAACATTGACAGAAGGAGAAAGAAAAGGGACGAAACTGTGTCCGCAACCCACTGCAGCAGTGTCCTGCAGAGATCCCCCCCACCAAGGAGTGCACAGCTTCCCGACTTAATAGCACGGGTTTGCGGGCTGGCGTGGAAGGGCYCTCCTGCCTTCTGCCTGTCAGTCAGACCTCAACCTGGAGCCGGCAGCTGCAGCAGAGCAGCCTCCTCCCCTGCTGTACTGAGCCCTGGGAATTGGTTACTCCATAGGCTGGGTGTGCAACCAAGCCAGAAACACACTGCTTTAAAGCAGGGAGAGGGGTAAGGATGGTGTGTGCCCCGCTTTGCGAGTTGAACTCCTGGCATTTCTCAGTGCTTCTGAGCAGTCCATCTCCTGCTCAGAATCCTGCTGTTGAGTGAGCAACGTTCAGATCAACTCCTCCATGGCCCTGGGAGCAGCTGAACTGCAAAAGCCCTTGATCTGCAAAGATATCTAGTGATGGCATTAAGTGACCATCTTGGAGGTGGGCTCTTCGGTTGCTGTGGTCTCTGTCCCACCTGACATCCTTTGGGTGCCTTTTCTCTGCATTTAAGGTTGTTGGTTTGTGGGGACTACCTGAAAAAGGGACTTTTTACCTACAAGTAAATTCTGCAGTGATATTTTTTGAGACCATTTGTGCTCTGTCAGTGGTGTTTTCAGTCTTCTTCCTCCTTCCCTCTTTGTCCACATGTAGTTTGAAGAAACTGGCATTAATTCTTTGTGGTCTATGGTAGTTTTGTGTGAGAGAGAGCAGGAAGGATGAGGTGTATCTGGAGTCCTTCCAAACTTCAGCAGTGTTTCTGCCCAACTGGAGATAAAGTGTATTTGCCTTGGGAAAATGTGACATTGCTGAAGGAAGCACACTGAAGTTACTGAAAATATGCGGAAAATATCCTGTTCTGTAGCTATTTTAAAAACCTATAAATCGTATGGCTTCCTGTGATGTCGTATATGTTATTGTTTAGCATGAGGTATGGGGTGGGAAAGGTAGGTGATGTACTTTCTGCAGAAGTTAACTTTTCCAAAGTTAACGGTTTGACCTTCATCCACAGGAAGCAGAGGGCTAGGAAAGCTGTGTTGTAAAGCTCAGAAACGTGAGGAAGACTCATAAAGGCAGGAAAGGGAAAATACTCTTTAATGCATGATATCATTGTGTTTTCACTTGTAATTTATTAGGCTGGCAAATATTTGCTATGACAATTAACATATTGTTTGAATTAACTATGAAAGAGCTGATAGGTTTCACAGAGTCTATTTAATTCTGAGAGATCCTAGTATTTAGAGAGATAGGGTTTGACTTTTGCTCTGCTGTAGATGAGAGGGTATGTGATGTCAACCTCAGTGCTAACCATCTGCTTTGTATTGCCTTTTCCAGTGCCTACTCCCACTTCTTTGTGCTTGTGCTCCCTCTCCCTGCCCTTCCCTCTCCTCTTTCCCCCCATCAACCAAAATATCTCCATCTATAACAAGACCAGCTTTTAATCTTTCGAGTAGCTCAGCCTTTGCTGTGAGGTATTCAAAAATAGAAGCTGAGGCACTGGAAAAAGAGCTGATTCTCTTATCTTAGTGTATCTGGTATCATGTTCATATTCTCAGTTGAAAAGAGACCTTTGTTTCCCTGTGGTGAGGAGGCCTTGGGAGTGTGGTGAAACCAGGATCTCTGATCCCAGAGCAGCACATGGCTGGAACTCATTTGCTGTCCAGTTGCTGTTTTTTCTTTCTACTACATAGCTTTGTTTAAATTGCAGTTTTGTAAACTGGCTTGAAGGGTTAATAATAGTCTCAATGTGAACTTGTAAGAACATAGCCTAGGTTAAAAATAAAATTACAGCTGTTGAGACCAGGCTCAGTTCAAGGCCTAAATAGCATTAGTATTATCTTCAGAAAAAAAAAATCCTTCCTTATTAGCAAGGTTTCAGGTTACAGGCTATTACATGATTAGCAAGATCACAAGCACGGTAAAATGAACTGCATGTCAGCATTGCAAAGCAGCAGCACTTCCCAGCACTTCTTTGTGAGAGCAGAACTAAAATATAGAATTGCAGTTTCTTCTTGGCTCTTCTTCTCTGGGCCTCTGTGAAAACAAGCTGCTATCTGGCTAGCCAGGTAGCTAGCACGATTGCTATAGACTCAAGCTATGCAGTAACTGGCATACAGAAACAGTTCTTGCTGAGGCATGTGCTCCTAGATTTGRCTATCTCATTTTTATGGCACATGCCAATGTGCTGTAGGGGACAGGGAACATTTTACCCTGTGTAGCCTAGTTCTCAAGGACTGGCTCTCTAATGCTCGTTCCTTTTTTTTCTCTGTTCGCCTCCTTTTCAGTGCTTCCTCCAGTGCTAGTGCCAAGACACAGCGAATACAACCCTCAGCACAGCCTCTTGGCTCAGTTCCGCAACTTGGGACAAAACGAGCCCCACATGCCACACAATGCGACTTTCCCGGACTCTTTTCATCAACCCAATAGTCACCCGTTCCCCCACTCGCCAAACAGCAGTTACCCAAACTCACCGGGAAGCGGCAGCAGCACCTACCCGCACTCCCCAGCCAGCTCGGACCCAGGAAGCCCTTTCCAGATGCCAGGTATGTTCGTCTTCTGATGTTTATTTGGGATGTGAGAGTGTGCCTGGACACCGCAGGTATCGTGACTGTTTTACTTAGTTATACCATATTATCAGCAGGTGCTTGTGTTCAGTGGTGAGTTGGAAGTTGTTAGGTAACAAGACTCTGTAATTGGTTTGTTTAATAATAATACTAATTTTTTTTTTTCCATCTTTCAAACACAAATTAAATGCTAGAGTAAAACTCTGGGTGGTATGAGATACAAAATCTTTCAGATTTGGGGGCAGGGATACAAAATCAGGTGTGTTTTGAGAGGGAATTAGGGTAACCCTTTAGGCCACAAAGCMTAAAGCAAAACATGTTTGGATGTTTTGACAAAAGAATAATGCCCTGGATCCATCTTGTTTAGGAAAGAGATCATCATAAATTCAGTATAAGGCTGCAGCCCTGTGAAAGAAGGATGTTTCTAAAGGGGAGCACACTACTGTACTTGAGAAAATTTATTCAAATAATGATGTAATCTCAAGAAGCAAATATATTTCAACTGTAAAGCAGCCCCTTAAGGCCCTGTAAAGAAATCTTCAGGCTGTTTTGCTTCTTAAAATCAAAGAAATAGCAGCCTTTCCTTTTTGTTTACTGATGTCTGTAGCAATTCCATGAAGCTATTTTATTGTTTTGTTTTGTCTTTGCTTGTAAAATAATAAAAATACTGCAGAAGCAGCCTGTGAGGGATCCCTGAATCTAAATGCTAGGAGAAGGACTCTATACAAATATTTACCGATTTTCTTTTTGTGTGCTTCCTTCAGGGCTGAAAAAGGCTGCATGTGAGCAAAGATGTATGAAAATCTGTTTTCTGTTATATAAAATTAACATTCATACATTCCTGCTGGTGTAGTTGTTTCACATCTTTTTCTCTTGCGAGTGAAGACTACTGAACTTGCAGAGGCAAGAGGGAAGGAAGAAGAGTCTACGTAGTGAGTGCTCTTAAAAAACAAACAAACAAAAAAAAAAACAAACAACAACAACAAAAAAAAAAACCCTTTGAGTGGTCTGTTCAGTTTTCATCCCTGTAAAGGAATCAGCAGCTGCAGGGAAGAAATTGATTTAAAGGAAAGTTAAGAGACTAGTTTCCTTGATGCTTAGCTCTGATCAATTTTCTATCTTTTACTAGTAGGGAAGGAGTCCAAATGTGGAAAATACAGAAGAGAGAAGAAAGAAAAGAGGGGGGAAAAAGAGAGAGAGTGAGCAAGAGAAAGGCAGTTATCCAGAGATCTTGAAAACTTTCCAGATCCTGGCTAATTTGCTGCCTCTGGCCTCATTTCGCGATCTGTGCATCACTAAGGCATTGTATTCACACATAGACAATTCAGCAGCAAAAGCTTGTAGGCATCAGGCAAGGGGTTCTCTCTTTTGTGTGTGTCTTTGTGCAGTTGATTTGGAGGAAAGTGTCTTCTGAAGTGTTGGGTAACAGCGATGCTGGCATCTCCCTCTGGTTTCTAGGAAGCTGTTTGGGAAACTTTCCCAGAAGTGAATGGAACAGCTGGAGGGCAACACAACCCATGTGCAGCAGGGCTCAAACAGGGCTTTACTGAGTGTGGGCATAGTGCACAAGAGAGTTTTATACTAGTGATTCAATCAACTGTTCATTGCAGCCGTTAAGAGACTTGAAGACATACTGGCAAATCAAATCTTGGTCCAGAAGGTTGCTTCTGTAGTATTTGGGTGTTTAAATACTTTATATTGTTACTTACCTGTGAAAATAGAGCTAGTACTTTGGCTGGTGCAATCGCATTGGAAACAATAAAGCTGGGACTGAAGACTTTGTTTTGAGTTCAGTCCACATTTATCCTTTTGGATATTTATTTCTTGGTCTAGAGAGCTCTTTGAGCCTTAGTATCTCTGCAGCATTTTCAACTGTCGAACGCTGCAGGCTACTAATGTAGCTAGACTTTCCTTTGTGGCTTGATGCATGGAAAGTGACTTGTTACTGCACTTGCACTTCATATGCACAGTAATTCTCTGCTTTCCTGAATCAAGGTCCGTGATTGCTTTCTCAGATTTCTGGTGGGTGGAAGTTTATAGCTGAGTCAGGCTGGAAGCATTTTAAGCTAAAACCATTTATGTGAGTGTGTATATGTACTTTCAAGAGAAGAAAGGACTTTGGTATCTCTACCTTCTCTATATTTAGCTGATACGCCCCCTCCTGCTTACCTGCCCCCGGAAGATCATCTGACACACGATACCTCCCAGCCAATGGACACCAACATGATGGTACCCGCAATGCCCCCTGACGTACACAGAGGAGGTAAAAACGTTTCCTTCTCAGCTTCTGATTTGCTTCCTAAGGGTAAAGACCTTTCAGAACTTCTGCAGTGTGTTTAGTAGTTGAGCTTTAGTATTGTATGCATGTTGTTCAGAGTTATGTAGTTAGTTTGTGTTATGCTAAGGGATGGAATAAATCTGAATATTAAAAAGTATATAAAAAGAAATGTATATTTAGTACAAGAAATTATCACATGAGCTTTAAGATGTGAAGTATGTGGTTTTGTCACCACATCATGACCAAAGTAATTTGTGTGTTCTGTATCTGGAATGTTTGATAATCACTGAAATGAAAGAAGTCCTGTGGTGCTGTGCCTTTCTGCATGTGATGCAGAAACTAAACATATGCAGAGAAAAAAGTCTCTTTATCTCCTATGATTATATTGATTTATTGAGACAGAGCAGTTAATGCTATACAGTGCCTACTGAATTATGGATGTTCAAGTATAGCTCTCCAAAAGAAGACTTGATCAGAAGATGGATGCTAATACCTTCACTTATGCAAAGCCCACAGACATTTCATGTGAGCAGCTGGAGGTTTCTTGTTGTTGTTTTTCCTATATTTTTTTTTCTCATAAAATTGTTTTTTCTCATTATGTTACAATGTTTTAGACCTGAATTCTAAATTGCAGTCCCTAGGAGTGTGCTCTGCTTTAAATAGTTGCCCCTTCTAGCGATAAGGGCTTGGGCTTTTCTTTTTGTTTGTTTCRTATTGTTTTGTTGTTGTTCTGGTCCTCTTTCTCCTTCCTCTTTGGGTCACACAATGATGGCCCATGGTCCAGAATTGAGAGCTGTCTGCCTGAGGTGGCCTTGCCACAGAGTTTAAAATCCGTATTTAAAAAAAAAAAAATCCTTTTGTTTTATGTACTGTGACACAGACATCTTTTTACACACTGCTTTTGAAAGCCTTTGCGGCCAGCTGTGACTGCTGAGTAAAAGATTTAGTGCATTCATCACGATGTGAGAAATAGCCCCTTCAGAGAACACATCAGCTTACACAGCTACGGACTGTGCCAAGAAAGAGCAGCAAGTAGAGTTACTGTGCCAAAATGATTACAAAGTTTATAAGCATATGAACAATTTAACTATTGTTTGATTTTTGTACTCATTTTGTTGCTAAGCTTAATGTCTGTTTTCAGGAAGTATATTTGCCCTCTTAAAACAATTTAGATAGCTTCTGTGGTAACCTATTTACTCTCTGTATGGAGTGAATTTTGCATATGATAAACCCCATCTGTAGCATTTCTGCTTTCGCTGATCCAATGCACTGTGTGTGTGTGTGTGTGTGTGTATAGTCCTTGCTGTTACTGGCAGCCCAAAGTATATTTATCAATGCCCAACTGCAGACTTCTGTATGTTTTTGCTTTTCCCCTCTTATGAAGCATTTTACAGTAGCAGATTTTTATTATATGTGAGTTAATTAAAAAAAATTTTTCCTGTGTGCTTTTTAACATGCAACCATTCCAAAATTGAAGATCATGTCTATTAGTATTTTTCCCTTCTAATAGTTTAGTACAATGGATTTTACCTCTCTGTCCTTAAGTTTAAAAAAAAAAAAAAAAAAAAAAAAAAAAGAAAAAGAAAGAAAAAAGATATGCTGCTTCTCTCTGTATACCTATATGCCTCTGGGTGTTTCTTATTCGTATATGTGTCTAGCAATTGCACTCCTTAAAAACCTGCTGCAGGTTGTTCAAGAACATTCTTTTTTTACTGTAAATGGACTGCAGCATTTTTGTTGCAGGCTTTCAAGAGCATGTTCTCCATGGTGATTTGTTAGTCTTAAGAGATTTGACTTAACAAGCTGCATCCCATCAATGCAGTTGGGTAATTTCCATTGCTGGCCCGTGCTGGGAATGGAGAGACTCGGCGCACCTGCTCTGCATGACTTAAAGCAAATGTAAGGAAGTTAGTATGAAATCTGTGTGAGAGAGATATGATTCATTCTGGAAGAATGGCCAGCTGGCAAGATTTCTGCCTGACTTTGAGAACTGGGGCAAAGCTGCAGCTTTGATAATTGCTGGCATCTTCATGTGACCTGGGAGTAGAACAACCTCTTACTAAGAATTTATGGCTGATTTTTGCAATGATCTGAAAGGATAGGAAATACTGCGGTATCGGCTGCTTTCTGCTGGTGTTTTAAGCAAGTGGTGGATCAGCTGTGCATGTGTTGCTTGGCACCCTTGCACAGTGATCTAGCGTGTGTTACTCTGCTTTCTGCTGCTTGCCACGTTTTCTATCTGCTATGTACTTCAGGTTTTGGGGGGCAAGGAAGGCAGGGGATGTTCTTCATTCTGCTCCTGTCAGAAAAATCATGAACGAAGGAAAATGATGAGCATTGGTCTTATGTGACAGAGACATGGGGTCAGGGCAAGGAATCCTCTGTCCAGAGGAACAAGTTTGCCTGTAAAACTAATCTTACCTTCATTTTAGCCCTTTGACCTGCAGTTACAGCTTTAATCTGCCAAGTTGGTATCTCAGCAGCAAGTTCAACTGTACTATGCTGAGCAAGGAAATAGTATCCTTCATTTAAAAGAAACCACATAAAGCAACCACATCCCTTTGCTAGCCTGCTTTTATTTGGAGGCAGTTTAATAATTTGTAGCTGTGCTTGGCACTTGAAAGAATACGCGCTGGGTGGAGACATCTAAAGAAGCTTATGCTGCTGTTGGACACCCACTGGGAAACTCCTTTTGGTGAAGACCGTCTGTATCATCAGAAGAAAAGTTTCCCACAGCAGAGTCACAAGTGTTACCCCAAGACTTCCATGTGTTTCCAGGGCTTGATAGACAGAAGTTATGAACCATGCATTTCCTGTTGGCTTTCTGCAATACCCACGGCTTCAGTATGATCTTGTTGAGGAGGAGCTTGTTCTTAGCAGAATCTAGAAAAGAGAGTTGTAAGAAATGCTTGCTATTACTCAAAAAATAATTRATTGTTTTGGTAATGAACAACTTAAGAGTTTGTATTTGCTAGCACTTCACAAACAAAAGGTTCTTGTAAAATAATACCTTCTTTGGCTTCCTCTACTCTTTATTCCAGTGTAACTGTAAGGAGCCTGTACATTATGCCTTGTATGCCTGCTGTTTCTCCCTGGCACTGTTAAACTCTGCAGTGTGGGTAGTAATTGCTTTTAATTTGGGGACTGAGTAGAATGAACTAAAGTAAATTAACCTTCAGTTAATTTACTAGATTGGAAAGGAAGTTGAGCTGTATCATTGCAATATTTCTCTGCTCTCCAGTTTACTCTATGGTATGTTGCAGAAGATGCAGCAGGGATAGAGGGGCACTGCTTGGCACGTGCTTCATGGGCATTTTTGTGGGTACCTAGTACCAACTGTTTTATTTTGCAAGTCTTGTGTGAGTCTTGTTGATGTATAATTGCTCTCTTGAGTCTGTGGTTCTGAAAAAGTRAAAAATGGCTAAAGGCAGAAGAGCCTTATCCAGGCTGATCTTCATTGATCTTAAGCCCAAATCTGTAGGTCTAGAACTCTTTAAATGTGAGGCCTGTATTCAGGCCCGTTAGACTGTAACATTTCCTCGTTTGCTTTGCAGATGTCCAGGCAGTTGCTTATGAAGAGCCGAAGCACTGGTGCTCCATCGTCTACTACGAGCTCAATAACCGCGTCGGGGAGGCCTTCCACGCTTCTTCCACGAGTGTGCTGGTCGATGGCTTCACAGACCCGTCTAACAACAAAAACAGATTTTGCCTTGGGCTGCTCTCTAACGTTAATCGAAACTCCACCATTGAGAATACAAGGCGGCACATTGGCAAAGGTGAATTTTAGATCTGTGTGTTTGAGTCCTGGCGTTTTGGGTTGGGGCAGGTAGAGTTGGATGGTTTGGGGTTGTAGGTTGCCTGATTTTTAATCGTGCACACACACACCCACACAAATGTTTTGGTTTTTTTTTTCTCTCCTCTTTCTCTTAACTTGTCAGTTTTGGATGCCAGCCTCCAGGGCAGGCTGATCTTCCTAATGCATGTGATAAGTCATTATTAGAAAATTGGTAAATATATAGTTTTCTGAACATGTGTTAAAAGCAAACCGTTGTTCTTACCTTTTGTGTAATTACGGAAAGCTCTTACCCCTAATTGATTTTTATGTGCCTGAAGACTATTATAATATTAATCAGGATTTATGACTGTTTAATAAAATGTCTTGATTTATCTTGATTATTGACACACATGTAAATCCTAGTAGTAGTCCTTGATACACAACTTTTAGCTATACTTACTTCCAACATAAACTAACTATCCTAACATCTATTTAGAGAGACAAACTGCTTAATCAGTGTTTGCAAATGTATCTTAGACTTCTTTCCTAGTCTGTTTGATKCTTTCAGTGGGAGTCCTGTGCTTATCTTCTCTTCGATGGCTGTGACAATGTCCTGCAACAGAGAAAAAACTTCTGTTTCACATCTGACTTAATATAATCCTCGTTTTAGGAGGGCCTGGCTGTCATGCAGCTGCAAAGCTTATATTGCCTCCCTCCAATGGGTCTTTTCTGACAAACTATTTTTTTTGAGTGTTTACGTTATCAATAAGCTCTGGATTTTCTGAAACAGTTTGGGATCTAAGCAGTGTTTAACAGTACCAGTTAATAGAGGACCAATTAATTCTCTTCTTCCTTAGAGGAGGAGAGAATTGAAACTCAAGGGAAGAGTTAGATCTTCAAGTTTTAGCCTTTAAAAGTTTTCTCTACATGAGGTCTTGTGCAACTCTCAGCAGCCTATCACAGCTGTTATATGCCACTCTTATGCTTCTTTATATATGCCACTCCTTTATCACTCCTTTATATATGCCACTCTAATACTTCTTCCTTATTTTCCCCATCTATTCTTCCAAAATATCAGGATATTTATTTGACATATCAATCATTTTCTCTTTAAAAACACAAAAGTAACCCAACTATCTCTAGATATTTTTACAAAGTCAGAGTGTGAAGAATAGATACACAGTCTGAACTCCTCTGACCTCCTAGCATCAACTTTTTCGTCCTAGGTGTTCATCTCTATTATGTTGGTGGAGAAGTGTATGCTGAATGTCTTAGTGACAGCAGTATCTTTGTGCAAAGTCGGAACTGCAACTACCATCATGGTTTYCATCCAACCACTGTGTGCAAAATTCCTAGTGGCTGCAGCTTGAAGATTTTCAATAATCAAGAATTTGCTCAGCTTTTGGCTCAGTCGGTGAACCACGGCTTTGAGACGGTCTATGAGCTTACTAAGATGTGCACTCTCCGTATGAGTTTTGTAAAGGTATGTGAAAATTTGCTTGAGCGTACTTTGTAATCAAAATAAATTATTCTTTCTTAATATGGTGATTTTGAATAATCTGTTACCTCCCTGCATCAACTTGTTATCAACTTGCATGAACTTGTTAAGGAACATTAAGATATTTGCAGAATAATATTCTTTGTGTGTAAGACAAGACAAAACTAAAACATACAATTGTTTTTGGAGGGGTGGGTTTGGGGRCAGGGAGGGGAGAGTGGGGAGGGGGAGTGGGGAATCTTCTGTCAATGCACAGTGTTTAAGACTGATTTCCAGGAGGTGTTTCTTACATGGCCAGTCACTTTGGCAAGTATTCCAATCATGTCTGTTAACTATTTTAACTTCATTGCATTGCCTCTATATTTGCCATACTGATTCAGATGGGTACTTGCATTGAAATGGGTGTATATAAATATAATTTTGTGTATGTAGAATTTTTATATAGTTATTTGCATAATCTGGATTTGTGGGGCTTCTCTTTTTTGGGGCAATAGGGCTTAATACARTACAACTAAGCTTTAAAAAGAGTTGAGTGGTTAATTATTTGGCTTAAAAGCGGTAAAGTAATCAATTACGTTGCACCAGCTTTTGCCCATTTAAATGACACTGTTAGCCTGTGTCCGTCTCCTGTTCTGTAAGAAATCCAGCTGAATTTCATGCTTCTGTTCCTGGCTGGCATTCTGGAGAGGTGAGCGAGGACTATAGCACAGATGATTATTGCATTTGTTGGAGTATAGATAGCATAATTACCTAAATCTATCTTAACTATCAGCWCCCAGATTAAGCGTTTCAGCAGTTAGTGGGAATAATACACGTACCTTTCTACTCTACAGGGCGTATAAGGATAATAATCATGATTTGTTAGGGTGGCCATGAGCTTCAAAAGGTGTGCTGAGGTATCAAGGGGCTGGTCATGTATCTGAAAGCAGGCAAACAACACGGCTAATATGCCAAAGTGCTCTTTTTCAGGGAAGAGGAGGGAGGTAGAAACTTCAAGTGTCTGTTAGAGCAAAGCTCCTACATGGGAGAAGGTCGTTTATAGACTATCCGCCCCGTAAAGCGGGCTGGTCCTGTTCTCTGACGGTTGCACAGGAGCTGTTCTGCACACTGCACTGTTGCACTGCACAGCAGCTGTGCTGGGAGCTAAGTATCCCCTTCAGCTTGATGGAGAGCAAATTCTAACTGCRGTTATCTTCTTGCTGTTGTCTCCAGTTTCGTGCCACCTGTGGTTCAMTTGCAGGACGATTTTGAATCACTTCCTCCAGTTTTTCTTTTTAATTTCGTGTTGAAATGTGGTAATAGTTGGTACCTCAAGGGATTTCTGTGACTCCAGTGGTAATCASTGTTGGAAGCTGAGTAATTTCAGTAAGAAAGACAATTGAATTATGCTTCTTACGGATTTTATGTTATAAAATAAGGTGATTTTTTTTCCCTTCCTTTCCTGCTTATGATTCTGTCTCCAGGGTTGGGGAGCTGAATATCATCGCCAAGATGTAACGAGCACTCCTTGCTGGATAGAGATACACCTTCATGGTCCCCTTCAGTGGCTGGATAAAGTACTTACTCAAATGGGCTCTCCTCACAATCCTATCTCTTCAGTGTCTTAAAAGGTCCCAAGCTCCTGCATTTTGGAAAAAAATGAGCCTTGCATGTACTTGAAGGACATAAGAGTCAGACACACTTTTTTTCCTACCCACTTATCCCCCCTCCCTGCCTCCGACTGGCAACAGCTGAATAAGAGCCATGAAAATACTTGACTTCTGTGACCAACTGTTGGATTCAGAAAAAATAAAAATAAAAAAATAAATCCCTTTGACTTACTGTTGGTATCAAGAATTTTAGTTTACATTTTAATGTTCTATTGCAAAGTTGACTTTCAGGGCTTAGTGTAATGGGGACAACCAAGCAAAAAACACGATCTGTCAGACTGACTTCCCACAGGATTTTCCTGTAGTTGGCACTCTGGGATTCTTTCTTCCTTATGTTCAACGTTCACTGCTTTTTCTTTTTTTCCCTGTGCCTTCTGGGAGTACAAGCCCGTGTTGGTGAAGTCTGATTTCTGTAGACTTTCTACAGTACATTTTAAAATCATTTGTCTAGTTCATAGTTGCTGTTCTTGTAAAAGAAAAAAAATACGGTTTAACAACTGTGTAATAATTTTTTTGAAATTGTGTCCTGACCATACTGCTGTAAGAATGTTAGGWATGTTTTTTGCTAAATGTATGTATGGTGTATCTGAAAGTTTAGAAGTTATTAAAATTTAGACCATAAAGGAGTTAGGAATATTTGGGAGGGAGGATTGGGAAGGGAAAATGACAACTGAAATGTAGAGTATATTGTAAACATAGCTTATTAGTTTAAATTGAGATCTGAGTTTTGCTGTGCATTTCATTTTTTATAGTGGCTTCAACTTGTTAATTTTGATTATTTTTGCCTCTTCCTTTCTCTTCAAAATAATTGTGCAGCTGGTTAATTCTTTTACCTGTGAAGAGGACAAAATGATTAATTCCTGCAGTGCAGAGCCTGCAGCTCTATGTATTTCAATACAAAATTGTACAGTATGCTCTTTAACTATTGAGCAATTTTATACAGTTTATGTAAAAGAAATAGGCTTTTAATTTTGTAAGAAAATCTTGTTTTTCCAAACCTAGTAACTGTTAATTGCTTGGAGGACTTCAAKATCCCTGTGTGGGTCTATTTCAAACTTTTAAAAGATATATATTTTTAACATTTTTTTTAACTGCTTGATTTATTTTCCTCTCTCCAATCTTTTATATTTACGTAAGGTGTAGTACTTTTAAGTACCTTTATTCCAAAGCTAGTGAGTCCTCTTTACTAGAAGTTTTGAATAAAACCTGTTGTTACTGCATACAGTTGATTATAACCTTGTCATGTCCACTTCTTAGTAGTTTTGAACAAACCAGATGCAGAGATGGAGGAATAACTAGCAATGAGGGCATGCTGAACTTAAACATTTACATTTAGCACAGGTTAGTAACCTTAATCTACTCAGTACCCTATTCAGTATAGGAGATAAATGAGTTCTCTAGGAAACTAGACAAGATCCAGAATGCAGCTGCACTGAAGTATCCTGACCACCTAGTGAAACTTTTTTTTGGATGATTTCAACCTGCTATCTTTGTACAAGAAGAGTTTTTCTTTTACTGCAGTATCTTGCAGACTCAAATCTGCAGACCTATATGTAGGTAATTTTGCAGGAAGCACTGCTGCATTGAGCTCTGAGAAATTTTTGGGGAAATGCCTATAAAATAATAGGAACTCAGATGAGATCTGGCCTTGTTGTATAGATACTTCTTATCTTTATTTCTATCTTGTCTATTTGTAAAATAGAATTAGCAAGCCTGAYCTTACTTCATGAATGGTTTAGAGGTCTTCCTCCAAAAATATCTCCCTCCCAYGTGGTATTTTCATCAAGGGAATTGTTTCTCAATTACTACGTTCCACTGGAAAAATATTTGGACACCATTTTAGTCCATCAACTCTTGCACAGTCTGTAGACTGCCTTAGGCTGTTTTTCCTAGCGGGCGACGTTGCCTCCTCCTGGGCCCTGCAGCATTTCTGTGGAGACCTGCTGGAGCTGCCCCATCTGCAATTTCACCCTCCCAGAGCCATGGGAGCCTCCTCTCCCCTTCCGCAGGCTTCTGCCTGGGGGCTGTTGTCYGGTGGCTGCAGAGCCTACGGAGCAGGGGAAGGAGGGGAGGATTTGGGGGCCACCAGGAAGTCACCCCTGAGCCTATTGCAGGTGCATGAGGCAAAAGCACAAGGAGAAGCTGAGCAGCTGACATGAGYGTCTTAGCCAGAAGATGTATGTGTATGGCATGGCGCTGCAATGAGCAATACCCATTCTTAGAGAGTGACTCAATCCTGTTCTTTGTTGTCATTTCTAATCTTGATTCAATTGGTTCAGTACAGGTTTTTAAAACAAAACTTCCCACTGCTCCTAAAGCAAAAATGTACTGCAAAATGTTCAAGTTCCCTATGCAGGAGAAGCTGGTTAGGAACCTTTATTATATTTGTCAGYTTCAACAACAAGATTTTTTGTTTTAACTTGGTATATGATTTCACAAAGAAGCATAAGTCATACAAAATATAAGTCATAGAAAAATAAATACAATTTAAAGATTACCAAAAGTAAAAAACACTGTTTGTTGTTCACTTGCTCTTCTTTGTTTGTTTGTTGCTTTTTTTTTTTTTTCATCTCCTACCTATGCTACATTAACTTCAAACTGTTCCTTCTAGTTTTATTTCTTTTCTTGTAATACAGCAGTTGGGTAGTGATATTTTATTTTATTTATTTTAATCAGTGCTGTAACCAGCAATCAAGCAAGTGTTAAGAAAGCAGAGTAAGAGCCAAGTGGGAAAACAGAACAGTACAGATTTGTTCAGATGGCACAGTTTGACTTTTTTGATCACTGAAGAGAATCTAGTGGACTTAGGTAGGTTTTTACAATTTTATATTCTTTTATACTGTTTGAGAGTACCATTGGGAGAGCCAAGAATACTGCAAGGTTGTTTTATTTATTTTTTTCAACTAAGCTTTTATTTGGTATCCCAGAGGTCATTTTCTACTTTAAAAAATGTGATTCTGAGATTAATGCAATCAGAAAATACACACTTATATTTCAAGCGCCTGTCTCTAAATATATTACTGTAATTCCTCTCTGCTTTTTCTGACCTGGGATTAAAATCAGAAAATATTAACTCTTCATTGTGTSAGAAACTTTTACTGGTAGTACTTCTGTGGGATCCCAGTCTTTTAAAGTTATTTTCTGCTGTGTGTTTTTCTGTGTCATTTATACTGTTGCAATGCAATGTAYGTAATATTCTTTTATATATCCGTTATCCAGCTGCTTGTTTGTGGCCAGGGAATATTAAATATGTATAAAAAGTGTATGTACCTACCTGTGATGGCAGAGAATATCCCAGCTGGACCTTATTAGATGAGCAGAGTGTCTTGGAACAGCACCTGGGACTCATTGCTGGAAAAGACAAGGTAGGACAGGGGCTTAACTGCTGGAGAAACCTCCCAGCTGAGGATCTTGTGAAGATTTCTGGAGAGACTTGGAGAAACTGGCTCATTTGGGATAGCTGGAGTCAGAAAACTGGAAAAGGCAAAGGTCAAGCCAGAATCTGAAGAGTTTCTTTSTAACCTCTTATAAAACACGGGAAAATGAGAGCTGGAAACTTGGAAGGGGCCTGAACTGTCACCTTTGCACCAGGTGAGTTCTTGTGGGCCATTTGGTTGTGTTTTCCGCTGGCTTTTTGGGTCTAGTCTGAGCAATACAGTCAAACATGGAAGAGACTGCTGGGGGGTGAAAAGACTAGAGGGAGCCCCATGAAGAAAAAAACAATAAGGCATGGATAACTTTTTCAAAAAGAATTGAAGAAGAGCAGTGAGTGATACAGTCCCTTCTTGGTGTACTTCTCTTCCTGTTTTTCATTTTGTTGCCACACTTCAAACTGTTGTTCAATACTTTAGCAGTTAGCTGTGTTTTGATGGGATTAAATGGCATATATTAGCAGCTTTTGATTAATTCAGTATGCTGTAGCCTCTTGCCCTGCTCATGAGATGCATGATTCATAACTGTGTGTGAACTGGCAGTCACCTTTTTCTGGATGTTTGCCTAAACCTACAACACAACTCTACCATCACCAGACATGACGCACCAATGTATTTTTCTTATGCATCATCTCACAGTTCATTTTCTCCAAAAATATTGAAATTTTGTAAGGTAGAGGAGTGAAAATGCCCCTTGTTTTAGTCTCTGATGTCTTTCCAGCTGCAACAGCTCATTCTAATGAGGTATATGGTGAACTGGTTTTCAAGAAGCAGTTGTAAAGAAGAGACAGCCTCCTGATCCATACAAATTCACTATGATCCTACTAGATGTGTTACTGTGCATATAAGTATACCCTGAGTTTAATGTAGCTGAAATCATGAGTGGTCGTACTCCAGTGAATGGAAAAGATGGGCATAGTTTTTAAGAGGGTCTGATAACTGCTGTAGGGAAAAGAATGGCGTGGCAATTTCAGTGGAGGAAACTCATCCTGTGCAGCCAGTAATGTCAAGTATATAAGTAATGTCAAATACAACCCAGAACAACATAGTCAGTCCAGGAGTCTAGCAAAGGATTCCATCATGTTTTTGCAAAGTAGGACTTTTTATTCTTAAGGTGTGGTATCCTAGTTTTCCTTTAGGAATTAGTACCTGACCCCAGTTTTCATACTGCTGCTAAGATTTGAGTTAAAAAAAWTTTCTCTCTATGATCATGATGGCTCATCTTTAAATACAGAAAATTCAAAGGAGGCAGCTGTGTAGCCAGTAAGGTAAAACTGAAAGGAGAAATAAGCTCCTTCACTAGCTTCAGACTGCAGACTGGCCTTAGGACCTCTTAGAGCACTGCTAAGAAGCAGACAACGACAACTTGGTGTTTAGTGAATGCTAAGAGGTGTAATTGTGTTACAACAGGCATYCTGCACTTGGCAGTCAGGCTTTCCTTGCTCAAAGAACATTTGGTTTGGTGGACCTATTACTTCCTTAGAAGTAGTGAGTACAGCTCAGTTTGCCTTTGTAGAAGAAATTTGTACTTTTCCTATTAAAACTTCTTTCTTTTCTAGTATTTTATAAAATGTAGATACACTACTTTGAGTAAAAGAATGTATAAACCTCCGCTTCCCTTGCTTTTATAGTATTACTTAGGAATTCTTGACTTTTCTTTTTCATCTAGTTTCCTGAGTTTAATTTAGTACAAGCAGAAGAATGAGACTTGATGTGTGACATGATGCTGCAATAAGACTTTTTATTTTCCTGCAGCACTTGGTTTTTGGCAGGAAAGCAGTTTCTGCCTCATCTCCGAGAAAGCAGAGGCAAAGGGCTCTGCTCATACTTTTGAGGTCTGAAAGTGCTGTGTGCTCTCAGGTATGTTATATATTATGTGGAGACTGAAAGATGGCTGCTCTCCCATCAGATATTTCTTTAGCCTTGTGGATCAGTCTCCTCTAGTCACAATCACCATAGACATTAGGGCTGGCAACRCACTCCTTAAAAAGTGGATCTAAGCATGGTTTCTTTTTGAACATGACTTGAGCAGGGGTTTGAATACAAATAACCTGTACAAACAGCTCAAATGCAGCTGGATTCCTGGGTCTGTTGGATTTGGCCCATGCCATGTTCTGCAGCAATGCAGAAGGAAACTACCTTGATCTGGTTGCACTGAAGACTTCTGGTTCCCGTAGAGGGATTTTATCTTGTGCCAGGAAAAAAGCTTTGTAAATACTCTTTCATGGAGTAGGCCTACAAATGTTTATGGGTTTTCTTTATATACTTCCTGGTAAAAGCTGGTTTGATGCTAATTCAGAGTATACTATGAGAAATGTGGCCAAGTCTGACTTCTGGCTTACTGTATTGGTCTTGGACTTTCAGGAATTGTGTGTTACTGCAATCAATGCACCAGAGATTTCCACAAGAACAAACTTGAGCAGTACTTAGCTTGAATGTGATGGGATCACATTTAACAATGAAAAAAGCTTATATGTGTATTTTTTTAAAATCGCAACAATTACCTGAGGCTCCTACTTCATGAAAAGCCTTATTCTGTGGAGTGTACTTGCTCTGAATGGCCACATGTGCTCACTTATTGGATTTATTAGGGCTTTACAAGACTCATATGGACTTACATTGTGATTAATCAACAGAAAAAAGAAAAAAAAAGAAAAAGAAAAAAAAGAAGAGTTGTGTGTATAGAGCAAAGGCAGGGTTATTCATTTTGGTGTTTTTTAATCTTTTAATTATTTTTCTTATTTTTTTTAATATATGTGTGTGTGGTGTATGTATATATATATATATATATATAAAAATATAGCCTAGGCTGCAATAACATGCCAAAGTATGTGTGAGGTTTTTCTGCAGGAGATGCATATATGCAAAGACATCTTTTTCTCCTTTTTCCATATTTCTTGACAGTCAGAAATTGTCCAAATCTACCAGGTTAGGGCTCCACAACAAAACTTGATTTCCTGGCCTCTTGTCAGGGGTGAATTTATTACAGTAGCCTCTGACTTTCACCATCTTGAATTGGACACAGGAGTGATGTCGCTTTTATGATGTGGAAAGGTGGTCAGGGAGAGGAAGAGAACTAAAWACTTCTTACTCCTGTCTCTCTCCCTTTTCTTCCTCTCCTTTGTAGGATCATAGTATGACGAGCTGCAGCTGGACCGGTCCAGGAGCCTTGGCTGGTGACAGGCAAGTCCTTGCAGAGCATCTGGCTCCAGAAGTGCTGGGACACGTGTATGCAGCTCTGTTTTCTTCCAGTCACATGAGAAAGCCCAGGGAACACTCCTTTCTGTGCCAGCAGCTCGGAGTGGGTGACAGGGATATGACTGTGTGGCT